AGTGGCCGGTCCTCAGCAGCCAGGTCACCTTGGCCGTGAGCGGCTCCGTGCGCGTGCTCGTCGCCTCCGTTTGGTGCGCGCACACGTCTCTCCATCCGGATCTAATTTGGTCTGAAATTTCCCCTTTTCCGTAGTTTTTTGGACTGCACCTTTTCACCTGGATGCACGCAGCCAGGGTAAGTGGATTTGCGTTTCACGTTGGCACGGTTAAAAAGAATAAAAATAATCCAAACTGGATCAACTGAGAGATGCTCTAACAGGTGTTTAGGAGATTTATGGCGCTCCCTGAAAGAAAAAACGGCTTTCGTTGGCAGAGCTGTCGATTAGTTGTCGTATTTGTCATTATATATGGGCTTATATTTTCAGGAAAGGGTGAAAGCAACTGGTTTTTTCCTCCTCTGTAACCTGCGCCACGCTCAGTAATCACCTTGAACTTGATATTTGCCATTCAGGTTTCTGAAGCCAGGATGTGTATTATCATCCTCAGCTACTGTCCTCTCAAGTCTACTCTTTGTCCTTTTATTTGAACTTTTGCTGGCCTCATTTTGCATGCATATTCGTTAGGGTGACTAACACGAAGCCCTCATTTGCGTCAGCCCCAAAACGCCCACATCAGGAGCTCCTGATTGCTTCCATGTCAGTCTCGTCGTTGAGAATTCCTCCATGCGATTTTATTTATCTTTATATGACGTGCATCGTGTGGATTTGAATCTCAACTTCTAAGACAGGCTGTGCCCTTGTCTTCTACAGGTCTGTGTCGCCAAGTTGAGCATCTGTTTTAGCGTTAGAGCCCCACATTCCTCCAGCCCGGGCTGATGGATCTGTCCTCCCTCCCCACCGAGAACCTGCTCTTCTTCTGCCCGGTTGCGTGAAAAGAGATCTTAGGTGGACTTGAAAAAAAAAGAAAAGAAAAGTGGCCAGGCTTTTTTGGGGAGAGGACTTTGGCTGAGGGACTGGGGAGTGATGGCGGCGGCTGCACCCTCCTCCTCCTCCTCTTCCTCCGCCGGCGGCGGAGAGGCGGACCCCAACTCGACTAGTTTACGGCCACCGGGCACAAGTAGGTCCATCGGGCATCAAAGGCTATTTTCACGTCCGCTATTTACTTTGTGGGCAACGCCATTCATCATTTTCATTGATGGGGGGGAGACGAGGGGAGGGGGTGGGAGTCCGGCGCAGTTTCAGGGGGCTTCCTTCGCCACAAATCATCGCTGCGTTTCATCCCCACGCACGGACCCCCCGGCTGAGCCCGGACAAATGCTGCTGTCAGAAACGGATGTCTTCTGCAAACATTACAGTAAACACAGCCAGAGCCCCCAGGCTGCGGAGCCTCCGGCCAGACAGCACGCGCTCACTGTCAGGGTTATTACCGGCTTATTATCATCAGTATTATTAGCATTCATAATATTATTACTAGTATTACTATTATTATTAATGTCATTTGTATGATAATTAATTATTAGTATTGTTCATAATAATAATTGTTATTATTAGCAGCATTATTATTAATATTATTATAATTATTATCATTATTATTATAATTTATTTTTATTGTTATTATTATTGGTTTGTGGTAGTGCTGCGGTAATACATTTGTTTTTTTTCCTAAAATCTTTATTTCGTGTTTTTTTCTCCCCGGGGCTACATGTGCTCAAATAAAGTGCCTGCATGGGAAAATGAAAATTGCCCCTGAAGTGGCCTGTTAATTCAGCCACATTAAATAGACTCTAATGGCACTCTTGAGCGTTCTGGCCCTCCAGCAGTGGGGGCACCGAGGAAACCGTCCTCTCATTGTCAGCCGGCAGAGCAAAAAAAATAAGCCTGATTCTGCCTGTGAATGGAGGTCCAACATCAAGTGACAGGTGAAGGCGCACAAAGGAAATTAGTCATAAGAATAAAACACGAAGCAATATTTTTTCCTGAGTTGTAATATAAAGGTAAAAATTGTCATCTCTTCGTAACAGATTTTAAAAAGCCACTGCCGGCCCCTGTGTGGTCAGCCCACGCCTGGCTGATAAATGACAATGATTACAGCCTATTAGGCCAGCGCAGGGTTTCTCTTCTACAAATGCATTGCCTGGCCTGAAAGACATCTGCTCTATTTTTACTTCATTTTTTGGTTATCTTTTTTGTTCCTATCTCACCACTCAGCTTGGGGTAAAAAAAAAAAAATCTGCTGGAGTGCGTTTAGTGAGCTCTGCTCTGAGACAGATGATTTATCTAATGATCCAAAGCAAGGGTTAAATTGGGATGTGGGAATAGGACTGATCACAGCCACCTCCTCCTTGTTTCCTCCCGTCTCCTCCCCACTCGACCCCATCCTCCTCCCCGTCCTCTGTTCCTGAATTGCTGCTTTTTGAGGCTTTTCTCCTTTGCCTCCCATCCAAGGTGCCCCGTCCTCCTCTGGCTGGAAGCCCTTGATAACGCAGCGATTCTCTATCTTTCATTGACCAGCCGCCTCCTGTCTACTGAAGCTCGCATTTTAAACAGCGTCTTCTCACTCAATTAGGTCCTCAGGCTGGCGTGGATTTAAACGTCTAATTAATTCCCAGTCCTGTGGGTCACGGAAGGTGCGCACGATGAAAGCGGACACATCCAGATCAGAGAACACACATTAAAAAGCAATTCCGTGACGCTCGTGTTAGCCATTATTTCAGCATGACACATCAGTCACCAGCATGCATCTCAAAGGAAAGAAACAAATAAAGATCCCTTTTAACTAAGTGTTTTCTTAAATGTGCCAGGTTATGATGCCTGGTGTGGAGTGGCTCATGGATGCACCAGAAAATTGGGAATGAAGATTTGTGGTGAGTCGGTTTGATCTGTTTTATTTTCTTTTGTTAGAATGAGCAGAAATAGAAATGGGCTTTACACGCCTAACCGTAGGCTTCGTGGCCTGGTTCATTTTACCATTCTCTTAGTGCACGAATCTGGCTTTTTTTTAAAAATGTATTTGGTTTATGTTTTGGTTTTTGGAAAAGAAGCATCAAAGGCCCCTTTTTAAACAGCGCCAAGGAGAAAATCAAAGACGAAATTATGGGGGATGGATTTTCCAATTTCCACTTTGAGGGTCTATTTGAGTCTCAGACTAACAAACCAAGGACGACCTGACATCTTCCATAATGGCGCACATCACGCTCCGGCGCGCGGGGCTGCTTTCTGCTGTTTTTCACTCACACGTTCTGCTGGTTTCACTAAGATTTCCTTTTAATTACCTTGAAATATCCACTTGAAAAATTCAATGAAAGACGAAAGAAAAATAATTAAATGCTTTAGTATTTGTAAAACTAAACAAAGTTTTAGATTTATTAAGCCAAATATTCTAAATTGGATTATAATCGATTTAAACTTGAATGTCTTTTCAACTGAATCTCTTTTTTCTTTCTTATTTTTTCTTCTTACAAATGCATGAACGCTTTTTTGTCAAGGTAAATAAAATGTGTTTGTGGTGCGAGCAGCTCGAGCTCTTTAGTCTGAGGTGCGTAATGCTTTAGATCCAAATTTACAGCAGCTCCACGACACCGGGGCGGTTTTGCTTGACTGGACTTTGGTGCTGATGTCACTAGGCTCGACCTCCCATAGAGTCTCCACCCGCCTATAAATACGACCGGAGGGGGCTCGTTTTTCTCATTAAAACAGAGGGGAAATACGGCTCAGACCTCTGGAGAAATGGGGGGGAGAGGCCCGCTGTAGAGGGAAGGCTGCAGTTTTCATCATGTTTGGGAAGTGCAACAGTTCTCGGGACTCCTCTCCTCCCTGTGATCGCGCAGGGTTCCTGCAGAAGAACAACAGTCTGGAGGAGAGGGGCAGGATGGTGAGCTCGTTTAAGGAGCGCTCCGCCAGAAACCTGCTGTCCTGCGACAACAGTGGAGGAGAGGCGCGCTTCAGGAGAGCAGAGACAGACTTCTCCAACCTGTACGCCAGAGGTAGGCTTCCGGAAAGGCTGCGCGTGCGTTTCACTGAACACTGATGGTCAACCCATACTGCGTTTGGCTTTGAATATAAGAGGCAAGGCCTAGGAAAAGGCAAAACTGTCTGGGTATATCTACTAAAAATGTAAATGAGCTCTTCATAGAGACAGTGTTACATAGACAAAAACTGGACAGATGTAAATATGTAAATTATGGCTGGATGGGATTAATAATACTTAAGTGTTAATTTTTTCCTACTTAAATAAAAAAAAAAAAAAACAAGAAGTCAACAGAGAAATCGTGAATACATTTAGAACCGTGCTAAAAACAGTTGACTACCTGTAAATGAAAATTCCAATAGATTGATAGGAGTTAAATACAAACTTTGTGGTTTTTGTAGATCTGCTCCCTGCCAAAAATGGAGAGGAGCCTACCATGCAGTTTCTGTTGGAAGTTGTGGAAATCCTCACCAACTACATCCGGAAGACATTTGACCGATCCACTAAGGTCCTGGACTTCCATCACCCCCACCAGCTGCTGGAGGGCATGGAGGGCTTCAACCTGGAGCTGTCCGACCAGCCGGAGTCTCTGGAGCAGATCCTGGTGGACTGCAGGGACACCCTGAAATACGGAGTGAGAACAGGTCAGAGATGAAACAGTCTGCTCTGATCAATAACTCCTGTTAGCGTCCTCTCTCCCATTCCCACTGGTGGTGAACGGCTTTTCTGAGGACTGTGCTGTTTTTTCCTCATTGTATACATCACAGGTCACCCCAGGTTCTTTAACCAGCTGTCCACCGGATTAGACATCCTGGGGTTGGCAGGAGAGTGGCTCACCTCTACAGCCAACACCAATATGTGAGTACAGATAGGATGAGTCACATTTTATTAGTTCTGATTTGCTTTTCAATGGTCTGTGATGCGGAGAGGCTTTCACTTGGAAGAAGGCTTGAAGTGACACGCAGTTACTGTCTTTGGCTGAGATAAAAAAGACAGCGTGCTCTAACAGACTGTCAATCAAACAAGAAAATAAAGAGCACAAAAGAGGAAATTTGTATGGCTACACCCCCGCGTTATTATCAATACTGGTCTATGCTTACGGGAGGTGGGACCGGGATTCGGCCCAGCGGGCAAATTAAATTGCATATCGATCAGCATTCACACTTAACACGGTTTCTTTGTTTCACATTATGCAAGTTCCTGTGACATAACAATGCCAGCAAGGGACAGAACCACATCTCAACAGGCTACCTATATAACATGAGCAGCAATCACTCAGTTTTGTTGCTAAGATAAATCAATAAGACGTTTTTTTTTGCTTTATTTCTTTTGTTTTTCTTACACTACTTCTGATCAGAACAGCACAGGTGGCCGCTTTCTTTTGAGTCACGTTTCTTTTGAGGTTTTCATCTCACCCTTTTACATGTGCAGACTGGGATGGAGAAAACACACATTTCGCTGCTACTGACTGCAAAACAGATGTAGAGACGGCTCCAACACAGGAGTCCAGGAAGTCCTGCTGTACCATAAACATAAGGCTTATTATCATCTTATTCACAGCTTCCATCTTTTCTAATCCCACTCACTGAAGACCAAACTGCAGCACGTGAAAAATGACTTTATATGTATGGAGCTAACATGTAGTACGAGGTAACTTGGATATTACAATTCTTTCTCTTTTGCCAGTAAAGTAAACAGCGTAAAAAAGATCAGCTATAGTTCAGGAAATAGAACAGACCATGGACAGCCTGGGTGGAAGGTGCCTTCACTGACTGACCTGTGCAGTTTTTTATCTACAAAACAAATGTGCCCAGTCATCCTCTAACTACCTCATAAATGATCAGGAAAGTACCAATAAATCATTTCATGATCGTGCATCACCTCCTCCCTATCATCTCAGGACATGATTTTTAGGCTCTGAGAGGATGACAGCTGCTTATGTTCACGTTGTTTGGCTTATAGTTATGGGACATGTTTTGCTCTCCCGCTGGTCCATCACTTTGTGTGTTATTTGTGACATCACCGCGGACGACTTAAAGCAGAAGGGCGGAGGTTGCTCCAATTTACCTTTATTAATTACTCCATCAGGCCTAATTATCTCTGGCAGATATTGACTGACATTAATAGACTGACAGTCACATCCAGGTCTTACATAATCAGAGGGAGTCTTGTCTGTGTAAATGAGTGCGGCTAAATTTATGTGCGACGTTTGTGATTTGGCATGCGACTTATTTGTTTTTACCCCTCTGCTTTTGTGTTTGTGTGTGTGCTGTCGATTATCTGAAGCACAATGCAACATACCGTTATCTTCCCATGATTCATTTAGTTGCTTTGCATGAATGGACAACATACTGATGCAATTAGAGGAATGCTGGCCTGAAGAAGATGGATGAGTCTGTCTGTGCTGTGACTGCAGACGGTTTTTCTTTGATTTAGAGACGATTTCATTTTATGGACATCTTAGGTACATGAAAACAAACTTAAAAAGAAATGTGTCTTATTTCTTTCAGTTTTATTGGGATTATTGTTCATAATCATTCTCAAGACTGTGTTAAAACTACCAGCTGCCTATAACAGTGGTCTAAGCTCAGTTTGGAAATGAGAAGGGCAGGCTTTAACTTACCTCAACAGGTAAACACAGCCATTTTTGATTGTTCCAGGTTTACCTATGAGATTGCCCCCGTGTTCGTGCTCATGGAGCAACTGACACTCAGAAAGATGAGAGAGATCATAGGCTGGCCGGATGGAGAGGGAGATGGAATATTCTCTCCAGGTAAGCACAAGCAATGAGCTCAAAAAGATGCAGAATACCATCTCAACAAAAGATAGAAAACTGTGAAAAGTTGAAAACTGTGTGACAAACTCTATTTAAATGCTTTGCAAGTCTAAACTTGCAAAGCTCAGAGCAAACAGTAGAATAAGTACAGCATATGCGGTTGTAGAAGGGAACACAAGGAATAGAAGTGGGATGGGGGTTGTGAAGAGATTAGAGCAGGAACCAGTGTACAGGAGAGATGAGGACAGGTAATAAAATATGACAGACGAGCACATTTGCCCGATGAATCCATGGCAGAGCCGGGGATCAAACCACCAACTTTGTTATTGGGAGGGCGGCGTCTGTATCTGCGGAGTACCTGCTAGCTCCGGGGCTCAGCAGAGCACAATCAATATGCTTTTTAAATCTAACTTGGAAGAGATTATTAATAAACTCGAAAGATGTGAAAAAGTAACCACTGTGCTGCATATAAGAAAAAAGATGCAGTAAAGTTTGGTGCGTTTAAGTTCTGCTGGGTATTTCAACCTATAATAAAATTTCCAAATTTAGAAGATTCTCTTATGTCAAATATCCGGCTGAAAAAATACCAGTATTTGAGAAAAAGGATCCAAATGCAGGAAGCCATAAAGCATACAAAGTCTACAAATGTAAACTTCAATTTTTTCCAGGGTCGGTCCAAAAGTAAAACAAAAAAGCATACAAAAACAAGAAAACTATATGTTAACTAACGCTGACACATGAAGGTTTGGGGAGTAGCCATGTTGTTGAGCACTGAAGACCAAAGGTACGCTCATTGTCAGTAAAAGCTGGACTTGATTTCAGTGCTTACTTTGGTTTCAACAGGAGGGGCCATTTCCAACATGTACAGCGTGATGATTGCCAGATACAAGTTTTTCCCTGAAGTCAAGACCAAAGGCATGGCAGCTGCTCCAAGACTGGTCCTCTTCACCTCAGAGCAGGTTAGTACAAAAGATTGCCCCTGTTCTGTTAACATCCTGACATGGCTTGATGCTGACCTGTGACTGTGCTCCTGTAGAGCCACTATTCCATCAAGAAAGCAAGTGCAGCTCTGGGATTTGGAACAGAGAACTTGATCCTTTTGAGCACAGATGAGAGGTTTGCTTTATGTTTCTCCTGCCGACTCATAATAAGCTCAAACATCATATGTATGGGTGGTTTATGATACATTTTTCTTCTTTAAAGAGGGAGAGTCATTCCTGCCGATTTGGAAGCAAAAGTACTCGAGGCCAAGACAAAGGTAAATGTCAGCAGCGATGACTCACACATCGCCTTTTTAAGTAATTTATCTCCCTCCATTGAGTACTTCTTACAATTACATACCATCATGTTAGCTGTGGAATGCTTGAAGGGAAGGACATCTTTAATGTGCTGAAGCAGAGGGGCTATTTCAGGCCTGTCCAAAGATGGGGCTGCTCTCTGAGCAGGCAGTTGATCCAACAGCATTTTATCAAATGTGAAAAGACTTCTGATCCAACATTAGGGAGACACAAAGAGGAATAGATTAATGGGGAGTTTTAAAAAAATCTCTCTCTGATGTTAACAGTCCCACAGGAGAAAAAAGCATAAGAGTCATAGCTACGCTCAGAATTGCTCTTTTCTTACTTGTGTGCAGGGTTATGTTCCCATGTTTGTGAACGCCACCGCAGGTACCACCGTCTACGGAGCCTTTGATCCTATCAATGAGATTGCAGACATCTGTGAAAAATACAACATGTGGCTTCATGTGGACGTAAGGGAATATTGATACAGTTTCAACCAACACCAGTCGCTTCAGTGTCCTAACCGCAGTGAGTTGCTTCCCCTGCAGGGCGCGTGGGGAGGAGGTTTGCTGATGTCCAGGAAACACAGGCACAAGCTGAACGGAGTGGAGAGGTAAAGCATACCTGTTGATGAAGGCCCGTTTGGAAAAAATCCACTAGAAACCCACATTTCTCAGCATGCTAAAAGATACAGACGAGAAATCGCCATTGGTTCCTTTAATTGCCCACTCTGGTCTGTTAGAGAACCTAAAAGAGCAATTTAATAACAACTATAGAAAATCACGTAGAGATTTCATCCACCTAGACTTAATAAACAAAAATTAAATACAATTTCTCGGGAGGTCTTTGCAAGTAGGACGTCACTTTATAACCCCTAAGTAGACACGTTGGTGTTTTCTTTATAGATTCCAGAATGTTGTCTGAGAAAGCCTTCACACGCATGCTGCCACTTCTATTCGTAGCACTGGTAAACACACACGCAGTCCCTCATGTGTTTGTTGTTTCAATTTCTCTGCAGGGCCAACTCAGTCACCTGGAACCCTCATAAGATGATGGGGGTGCCGCTGCAGTGCTCTGCCGTTCTGGTCAGAGAAAGGGTGAGCGCTGTCCAGCCCCTCACACCACCACCAGGTCTGTGTGTGTACGCCAGCCAGCTCAGAGCCCCCCGCTAACCCGCTGCTTTCTCACAGGGGTTACTACAAGGCTGCAACTCCATGAGTGCGGGGTACCTCTTCCAGCCCGACAAACAGTACGATGTCACATATGACACAGGCGACAAGGCCATTCAGTGTGGGAGACACGTCGACATTTTCAAGTTCTGGCTCATGTGGAAAGCAAAGGTGCGCAGTCATCTGCGACCTGACAGGCCTCAAGGCCGCTACAAGCTTCTACCAGCAGAAAATGACACTAATCTCTAACAATTTTTTTTCCTAAAGGGAACAATAGGATTTGAGCAGCATATCGACAAGTGCTTGGACTTGTCGGCTTACCTGTACAATAAAATAAAAAACAGAGAGGGCTATGAGATGGTGTTCAACGGAGAGGTAAGACGACCGCTCCCACAAATGCTTCTTTCTGCATTTATTTACCTCGTTTTAATCACCCACCAAGATAACCAGCGACGCCTTTTGCCATGAACAGCTGCATTAGTCAAGTTTCCGTTTCATGATTGATGGGATCATTTTGCTCTGCTGACGTGGTGACAAGAAATACTGAAGTTACCCCCAGCAGCTTTTCTTTGTCGTTGTTTTTTTAGTCTGCACACGTTACAAATGTTGTTTTCTCTTATCAGCCGCAGCACACTAATGTCTGCTTTTGGTACATTCCGCCGAGCCTGCGTGGCTTGCCTGATGGTGAGGAGAGGCGCGAGAGGCTGCACAAGGTAATGAGCCATTAATCTGCATTTCAAGCCTCATCTCCAGTTTTTCTCTCCTCTCAGAGGCTGATTTACACGGACTTTGATTTAAGGATTCAGAGTGCAAAGAACAGCGCTGTTACGGAATTGTAACACATCCTGGTTAAGTCATTCCATATATTTCTGCATCAGGTGGCCCCAAAGATCAAGGCGATGATGATGGAGTCTGGCACTACCATGGTGGGTTACCAGCCACAAGGAGACAAAGTCAACTTCTTCCGCATGGTCATCTCCAATCCGGCGGCCACCAGGTCAGACATCGACTTCCTGACTGATGAGATAGAGCGACTAGGGCATGACTTGTAAAAGTGAGGTTACATTTTGCTCAAAACATTTGTCTTTACCAATCCTGAAGAGCCTCAAGCTTGGCTTCATGTCCACTGTGTCCTCGGAAGGCAGAGAGATTTTTGCCTGGAGGTCTTTTTAGGCAACACACGACAAACTATAATAAACTCTGTGCGTTTGTGTCTGTTTTGTCTTTGCATCGGTGATTCACATTTAGATAATTTTGCACACCAAGTCAACTGAGGGCGGTGGGAATGAGTAACCACAGCGGTGTTCTTATCAAAATATATTCACAGTGGGAATAAACCCCATTGTAAATGTGAGGGGTGCCTTTTCACAATTAAAAAATGCTATGATGTTGTCTCAAATACAAATAAAAACAGCGAGAAATCATGTAAAATAATCTGATACCCATGTAAAAAAAAAAGGTAGCATAAACGCAAAACCAATGCCCATTTCAAATTGGAGGCTACGCAGCAGCATTTTTGACTAATGCTACAAAATGAATCATGATATCAAAACACAAAGGTGGCTGATGGGTCAAAATAGCCAATTCAAATGTTAGTTGTAAGGCTGCTTAAAACTAGACAGAATTGGGAGACTTCATTATCTAAAGTTTGTATTTGAATATTCAAAGAAATCTGAGTAAGAAATCCAGAGCCAAATTCTTTGTTTGTTTTGGTGTTTTTGGCCCCAGGCTCCCACAAAAGACCTAAGTAGTAGAGCATAAAATGTAAGATGTGTCCTTGTGAAAAAGTATATGGTAACTATTAAAACCAGATGTGCCACAACATCAAAGATATTTCCTTAGAATATGGTGACTGTAAGAATCTGTGTTTTTAGACTTTTGTGTAGATTGTGTATAGTATTGTTACATTGCCTTTGTGCCAAATGTGTCCTAGTTTTACAGTGAATAAATTATATCTGTAAATCTGCCAAACAGTATATATGTAATAGAAAGATCACTTAATTTATATTGAGAGACTATTTATCAGCTCTTCTGTGCCATTTGGATGTATCCTCCTCCCTGTTTGGAAACTGTATTTAGTGCAACAGCCATGTGTTTTAATGTATTTGTGAGCCAAAGAAGGGTTGAGATTGATCATTGGACATGTCTGTGGCCCCTACTCTCCATTATGGATATGTATTCAGATGTTTATATGATGACTTCTTTCACTTTAGCACAATCTATGCTGTGTGAGCAATCTATATGATTAATTTCATTGTGATTTACTGATCGATTGTCATCAAGCTCAAAGACAGGCAGCTGCTTCTGCTGCTGCTTCCATGAATAGAAAAAAAGCACAACACCAAAATGTGATCGTGGGGCAGCTCAAATTCTCTGGACGTATGATTGTCTGTATTATAATGGGTGAGGGGGAGTAAGACTATATGCAAAATTGAGCTTTCTATAGGATTTTGTTTCCTTTGTCATAGCACATGTCGCTTGAACAATGAAATTCACAGTGTTTGCTACTGTATTAGGACTTTCCCTTGTTGTATTCAATGTTGGCACTTTAACAGTCATATTCCTGCTGTAACCACAACACTAATAGGAGTGTGAGTAGTAGAGCATCTGCACACGATCCTCTTTGCTGTTTGTGCAACAGACGACTTTACCAATAAATATATATGTGTTCAACCTCACGCAAATGTGTTATCTTCCAAAGCAGGATTCTGATATGCTCAGTTTGTTCTGCTTTTGTAAAGCATTTAACATGAGAGTATAAAAAGTCAAGTACCAGACATGACACAGCAATGCTTAATTTACCTTTTCATTTGGTTAAGCCAACTATTTTATAGCCAGTTAGCACAACATTGAAAAAGACTCTCTCCCACTATCATACAGTCAAGAAAAAGGGTGAGTATTAAGGTGAGTGATCCTCTGAGTGGCGGGATAAAATAATATCTCTGTTAAAATATCCTAAATAAAATTCAGTGCAGTTGATAGTCAAAATCTGTCTAATCGGAGACATAAAATCTTGCAGTAGGGTGCACACCTGGATAACTGTGTGTTTTCTGTCCTAACATTTTTTTTTCTCCCTTTCTTCAGTTACATCTTTTCAGTCCACTTAGCTGTTACCATCCATTGATCAGTTTAATCACGCCAGTGGGACTTTTTTATTGGATGATCACCTCACATCTGAGATTTCATGAGCAGCCCTTTGCCAATCACGTAATTTCTCTCCTCACTGGCACTTCTGTCATAAAATGCATTCAGCTGTGATCTCTTCACATTTTTACCCCCCTGCTGGGCCCATTTCGAGGATCCGCCTCGCTGTGTTTTATTCCGACAGTCATAGAACGATCGACTGCTTGAGCGGGCCTCCTCCCTCCCTCTGCCAGACAGATGCTATTTCTTTGTTTCATGCTCCAGAGCCATGATCATTACGGACCTGATGTCAATGACTGCTTTGAGAAGCTGCGGGGGAAAGAGGCTTCAAGGAATAACCACTCAAAATAATCTTTGGCTTCTTGTCACAGCTACAGGGAGAGGGTTTTTAGTTGTTTTGATTTTTTTTCTCTGTTTTTTTCTTTGAATGGTTGCTTGATAACAGTTATATGTACCAAAGTATAAGAATAGGACTAATTTGGAAGCAGGTGCCTGAAAATATAGTAATGATTGAATGCAAATGGAACCATTTTCAGCTCCTGCAGTCTGTCACAGTCGAATGATTCTGGACAGGAATGAATGTCCCACAATAACAGAGTCAGTCGGCTCATAATATCAAGTCAATGTGTTCAGTGTGAGGCTTAATCAGCCTAATTAAGCTGGCAGTAGTAGCCAAGAACAAAATGGTTGAATCAATCTTAAGAGCAGGTTTACATCTGATATAAACTAAAGACTAAATGATATAATCATATTTACTATTTAAAGTGTTTCAAGCACGGAAGACCATAAGAAGCTTGCTCGGATAGTTTCTCTTTTAATTCTACTACTAATACTAATACTCAGAACCTATCCCTAAAAAAACACAGCAACTGTATGCTCATCAAACCAGGTAACTGGGACTGGACAGTGAGTATAAACAATGATAAGAGGCAAATACAGGAGTGAAGGTCAAGTTCAGATCCAGAAATCTATTAAATTCTTTACAGAGAAGTGCTCATGGGATTGTCAGTGATGCATATGAGAACAATTGTTTGACTGCAAAATAATATCAAGAAGAATTAAAAGAGTCAGATTTTCTGCTCTAAAATTGGGGAAATTCAGAAAGGTAAGTGTGGAGAAAAACTAAAACTCTGCCATCAACTCCCTCACCTTTTTTATTATGATGGCTTTTGCAGATATTGGAGAGGAGTGTTTGGGTCGATATCTATGTGCTTAAAGGAGTCATGATTCCCTTCTACTGCTGTAGGGGGAGTCCCTCACAAAGGGCCGACGTGGCTCATATTTAAGGGTTTGATAATAATAAAATAAAAGATCTGGTTGCCGGTGTGATTTGGAGGTTTCAATTCGTTTGGACTGATCGATCAAGCTGTGAGCTTGTGTTGCAATTAGTGGTAAGGTGATTATTTATTTGGGACAAAAGTTAAGTAAAATATGCTAAATTAAATGGCAATATGGAAGCAAAAAATAAAAAAAGGAAATTGGGTTAAAATCCCTCACACTAGAACTAGAATACTGTTTCAAGCTTTGATATATACATACACTGGTGGTTGTTGCTTACACCTGACCATGGAGGGTGCTGTAACTTTTGTTTTCTGTCCATTTCTCTTTTTTATTATCATGAAACTGTTAGAAAGTGAAGGTATAATCCTAAAGGAAGTAAGTGATCTGAACTTTTCTGCCTTTAGCTAGGCAGTGTTATATGTATGTAACTAATTTTCTTAAAAAGCAATTCCTCCCTTGACTGGCCAAACTTTTGCATGCTGCCATCCAGTTTCAGTTGCAACATTGATATAAGTCAGAAGCATAAATATTAATGTAAAAGAGAACATGGCATTAACATAATAGGGAGGTGGAGCAGTTGTGTCTTTGCAGTCGTCTGGAGGGCAGCTGGGCTGACTCAGACCGTGAAAGGCTTAATGTCTGTCTCTGCACTGGTCTGTTCACCCTCCATTTCACACCTGACACACACCCGCACACACACACCGGGTTCAACCCCTATTAAGTTGCTCCTTCTGAAACAAAGTATGTGGTGCATAGGATGACTTCAAAGAAAAATAAATGTATTTTTTCTGTGAGTGGCATTCTTTTGTTCGGTTGCTTGTTTTGATTCCGATGTAAAAAATCCCTTTCAGACCCTCACCCATCTGTGCAATGCCAACTATGCAGTTCCTCTCTTTTATATTTCTATGCATCTTGTCAGTCACTTCACATTGTGCCAAATATATCTTCTGCCCGAGGGAATCACTGCCACATTAGCTTTCTGATAGATACTGACAATCCTATTGTGTGAGGCACAGCTAATGAAATGATGGTGATGATATTGACTGCAGGCTGCCTGCCACCCCCCCCCCCCCTTTTCTCCACAGACAACTCATATACACACGCCTTGCAACAATTTCCAAGAATTTTTAAAAATAAATCTGTTACCTTACATTAAGATTACTCTAAATATATATAGATTTTTTTCTTTTTTTCTTTTTTTGGTTAGAATAAAATGATCATTGTCCGTTAACATGTTTTACTTACCATCCCATTTTGTACATTGTGCTTTGTAGAGCAAGTAGCAACTGCACTTAACACAACAGTGATAAGAGGATCAATTAAAGCACCTTAAGGTCTTCTAAACTAATTATAATGGGCAACACTTATCTAAATAGCTTTCTCTTAATGACTGCATGCCCACAGACTGATTAATGTTGGCAAAGAGTAAAATTTAAGAAGAGGATTAATAGTCCACAGACTGTAAGTTGCCCATCTCCAAGGTCTAGTGAGAGTAAATCTAATGTGGCACTTGTTAAAGTTTAAAGGCCTCTTGTAAGTGTGTCTGTTGGACATTTTCTAAAGCAATGAGCCTGAGCCATGGACTAGCAGCACTGCAGCTCACAGAGCCGATTGTGATTATAGAGGCTTAATGAACAAAACAGCTCGGCAGCAAACGACGTGTCGATTTTAAGCTTTTGAACATGGTCTGCGCTTTTCTGTAAAACAACAACAAACAACTGTTAGGAATAACGGACGGAGGAACATATAAGATGTGTGATATCTTGCTAGAATAAAAATGAATAACATGAAGAATAATTATGTCATCATAACCTGTGCTGCTCCATCTGTCTAATACAGGCTTTTGTCATTTAAATGGCATTTTTATCTCTGCCTCCCAGCACAACACAGAACAATATGTCAGCTGAGAGCATGTAGTCAAAAACTGGCCCCTCACAGATGCTCAGCGTTGAGCGACTAACCCTGACAGTAATGTCTCATGACTTTTGTTGCTTACGGTGTAGAAATCCAGCATGTGTATGTGTGTATGGCTGATACAAATAGTGAAGAGAGGCTGTGTTAATGTTTTCTTCACCATCTCATACACAGTGGATGTGGTAAAAGTGCTTCAACCAAAGGACAGTGCATTTTTTGTGTCTTTTGTCATAAATCCCTTGTAGAACAGAAGATGTATAAATCTGGGACAGCCATCTAGAACAGTGACTGCACAGTTTTAAGGCGTCAGCAAGCTTCTGCTGAAACACAGTTTATTTATATTCCTGGTGAAAGGGCAAGTGTCAGAATGTAAAGTATATTTCTAACTTGCTATAAATAAAGCACAAAAAAAATTTCCAGGGAGGTTGTAATGTTCATTGCAACAGCACTCTGAAATAAAAGTAGGCTAACTGTTAATGCAGAATTAAGCCATTCTACCAAGATTTTTTACGAAAGCAAACCTATTTCTGCAACTTGCTGACATGTTTTGGGGCCAAAATGTACCCTATTAGGATGCTAATATTTGATAAGTAAAATTAGATCTAAGTAAAATGGGAAGTATGGTTACATCAAATAGCTTGAAATAGAGTAGTGATAATGATTCAGCAGGAGTTATTGATATGTACCTAGATCCATGCAAACTTGAACATTCACCAATTGCCAAGGCATGATTTGTCTTTTCAAAGGAGAACGGGAGCCAAAGGAGAAGTGTGGTCACCGAGGATTAAAGCTCACCAGGATGCTTTCCATCACCAGCCTGGTTCTAAAAGGGTGCCCTGATTTCTCTGCTCATAGAAAGGCATCTTACGCTGAAAACAATCATTAATGCTTGTAACCTGTTGTTGTAGGACTCCAGAAAGAGCTGATGATTTGGTTTGAAGACTTCATGGATATGATCTTGAGGTGCTGTTGGCTTCGAAGTATCCTGGAGCAGTTTGAAACTGAATGAGAAGCTGTCCCTCATTAAGGTCCATCTTTCCATGTCTGCAGCTCATCTTTGGTTCTCAACTGAAAACAAGACTTGGGTTTTAATGTAAATAATTGCAGACAAGTTTTCTCTTCGCTGACAGTAACACAGACAAGAAACCAACACAGTGTTGGGACCTCAAAGAAAACTAAACAAAATCTGTATTTTTTAATGAAAATACAGATGAGACTCCATTTAAAACGTGGTCTGAAAATTGACCCCTGGCTATGGGAATCAAGCTTTCTCAGTGATTCGTCTCATTTTGTGTGAAAACCAAAAGGTTTAAAGTGAAGAGAGTGGTACAGTGGTACATTTAGAAAACTGAGTCTCATTCATAGGAAGGTGAGTGACAGAGACAAGATCAAGGTTTTGTCAGATAGGTGATAACTCGTATGCAGTTAGGAACTGTGGCTGTAAAACATCTCTCTTATCATTATTAAAATTAATGTTTCTTTGGTTGAATGGGACCCGATGCCTCGGCCCAGCTTCTCAAGGTGCCTGGTTCTGACATATCTTTCTTATGGTATATTTAACCTTGTAATACAGCACCTGTTTTTTTACCCATAAAATATTCATTAAAAAAATATATAATATTCTCATCGAGCATCCATGTTAACGTTCATTCTCACAAATGTTACTTCAGGAACCAACAGCACGGCTGTTACTGGCATGTGTTGTGCATGCTTTCCACATGTCATATTCTGAGCTCTGTCAGATTGGATAAAAGTACTTATTTGAAGTATTTGTCCTTGGAAATGTGTAATTTTGGTGATTGTTAAAAATCTTTGAACATTTTTCTAATTGACAGTCAAATTAAGGAGAACTCCGTCTCTGTTCTGTTTTCATTATTTGCGCATTTTGAGCAGGAGACAGCAGAACTGCGACGGGGAAAACACAAACAAAATATGTTTCTCTGTGATTATCTAAATTACAATGTTGGAGGAGGCTACGAGGTCAGGATTGCTAAAATAAAAAACAACAATAATTGATATCCTCTCTTGAATCCGAGTGCATTTTAAGATTAACGTTTCCCCCCAGAGACAGAATCAAGGTGAGTTGTAACAGACGCAGACACATCCAGGATAACTGATGATGGATGAGGAGAATCACAACGCCAAGCAAGATTATTTAAAATGATTTCATAAGACGTGCTGCACTACAGAGATATTGGATTGCACATAAACGCTTCTCCTCCCTGAATTCATGCTCTCAATGCTCTTGCATTGATGCTATCCCTCATTATCACTCTTTGATCACAGAGACGTTTTCAGATTCTCTCTGCCCGACCATGCTGAGCTGGAAAGGTTGTGAATAAAAAGACAACGTTTGAAATAAAATAAAGAACACTAACACTTCATTTTCTATTCTTATGTCCTCCATTAAAAAAAAGCTACAAGCAAAAATCACTTGCATAATTAAATGTTATTGGAAAGCAAAACCACACATAAAACAACAAAATGTTATTTTAAAAAGCCCGAGGATTAAATAATGAACCAAAATAAATTATAATGCTCGCTGCATCTGTCAGCACATGGAGACTGATTGTTGAAATCAGAAATGTCTTTGGTTTGTCCTCTGCAAAACTAGTAAATTGCCCAAATTACACGGTAGTCCAATTTCTCTAAGGAAATTGTTATGTGTTATTTACTGACAGACTTGCCACCAGCAAAAAGTTCTGCAGGAGTAGTCTGCCTTTTTCAATCTTAACCAAAAGAAGTATAAAAAACACAAACATTTTGTTTTTTTTGGTATTAGTTATTGTTGCAAATGAATTGCACTAAACAGGAGAAGCTTCTTGAGGCTATAAACATTGTATATAAAAACTAATTTAACAACAATTATCTTAATGAAAAAAGAACTAAAGATATGCAGTATTTCTGAAGTCTAAAAAAGTTTGAAAGTATGACACAGAGAGGTCTGTGTCAAGTTCCTGATTTTGGAAAGGACAGAAGCTTCTACCCTCAGAATTTCTTAACCACTAGACATTTCCAATACCTGTCCGCTAATACGAACAGAATGATCAGTGAATAAGTGTCTTTTTCAGACAAATGACAAACTGATTAAACATTGTGATACTCATCCCATGGGCTCTTTTTCTGATTAAAAAAACAAAACAAAAAAACAAATTCCCTCTGTAGGGCCTGAAAGGACCCAAAAAATAAACGTATGGCCAAATCCTGGTCCATATCAGCCATCAAACCACGGTGTTAGCTTTTTACACCCCAACAAAGATGACACAAATGCAGAAACCTCAAACTGGGCCCAGTACCTGTGGGCCATGCACACGATGGTCCCCGTTCCCACTCTTTACTCAATGTGTCAATGTGCTCTAAACGCCCTGATGTTCCACAACTTTAAGGAAGGCGCGAGGATGTTTGGTAGTGATACATTGTTCCATAGAGAAAAATATGTTTTTCCTAAACTTTCGACGGAGGCCTGAGATGCACCTAAAGACATTTTAAAATCCCGGCTTAAACACAAATAAGTGAGCAGCTGCCGTCAGACAGCTGTGAGGGAGGAGGAGGAGGAGGAGGAGGAGGAGGAGGA